CCGATGCGGGACTCGATCCAGGGACTCCAGGATCATGACCTGAGCCGAAGGCAGTCGCTTAACCAACTGAGCCACCCAGGCGCCCAAAACAAGCCTATTCTATAATCACGTCTGAACACAGAAAAAAAACATGAACATTGTCCAAATCACAAAAGTCCAAACAGCTCCCTATCCTGGCTACTATGAGTGACTGTTGCTTCTTCACCAATCCTAGGTTAGCCTCATCGACTATAGTTTTCCCTCCTTCTAGGTAAGACTTATTAAGATACCCAATAATAAAATGATGCCACTTCCTGAAAACATCAAATCCAGAGTAAAAAAGTAAAAAAGTAAAGCCTCACTTGTTTAAACCCTCCCCAAAATCACCTAACACAAGCCCAGATCCTACAATAAGTTCTTTCTAACACCCTCCTACTGAGACACCCTGCGGTTTCCCCTGGTGTGGGTTCTTCCTCACTGTAACAAGTAATAAACCCAAGTTGCTCCAATACAAATACGTTCCTGGCAGTCTTTGGCTGGAGAGCATTTACAGTGCATCAGCTCTGGAGATAATGATCACACTCTGGCTTAGACAATTGAGCAAGAGAGGGCACACTGGAGAAGGAACAGATTTGTAGGAAAAGACGACGAATTCAGTTTTGGACAAGTGGAGCTGTTTATGGGCAATCCCAATGAAGATGTCTGGCAGACCATTAGATACAAGGTGTGCAGTTCAGAAGATCGTGGGTTGAGATGATGTTGGGGACACGGCAGCATATATATGGTAAATGAGGCCAAGATGATGGGTAAGTTGGTCTAGGCAGAGCATAGTGAATGAGAAAACAAGTGGACCTGGGGCAGAGCCCTGAAGAATGTGTAGGGATAGATAGTGAAAATAGCCAAGAAGCAAGAGGAGACCCAGGAGAGGGCAGGGTCCCAGAAAGCAAGGGTTGAGAACACTTCAGGAAGAAGGGCAGGTCAACAGTGTCAAATGCTACTGAGAGGTCGAGAAAGATGGAAGTATTGGGGCACGTGGCTGCTTCAGTGGTGGACTGTGCTACTCCTGATCTTGGGGTTGTGAGTTCCAGCCCCACTTTGGGTGTGGAGATTACTTTAAAAGGGGGGGGGCTGTGCCCCTCCCCTCCGCTCATGCTCTGTCTCTCACTTTCTCTCTCTCTCAAATAAATGAATAAAATCTTATTTTTTTAAAAAGATTTTATTTATTTATTTGTCAGAGAGGAAGAGAGAGACAGAGAGAGAGAGAGCACAAGCAGGGGGAACAGCAGGCAGAGGGAGAAGCAGGCTTTCCGCTGAGCAGAGAGCCCGAGGCGGGGCTCAATGCCAGGACCCTGGGATCATGACATGAGCGGAAGGCAGACGCTTCACGACTGAACCACCCAGGTGTCCCTCAAATAAATAAATAAAATCTTAAAAAAAGAGATGGAACTATCTTCTGGGATTAAGTGAATGAGGTCAGTAGTGGCCTCGTGGAGGGGAGGGTACAGGAGCTAGAGTGCAATGGGTTAAGGAGAGAATGGGAAGAAAGGACATCCCTGGAATGGGGACGGGTCAGTTTCAGAGACTTCTACTTTGTCTTTACCACTGTGATAGCTCTTTTTCCCAGGCCAAAGGCCTGATGTGGGATTACTCTAACTCCAAGTATATCAACCCCATTAAACACCCAAGGACCAGGGAAACGATGCATCGAGTACACAAACAAGCTCCTATTCCAGCTCCCACTCCAAAAATCAATGGAATACATTGTCCTGGGATAGAGGACGTATCAGATGTTAAACTGATAAGAACAGATACCACACTTGATCTTAGCCAAAAGGCCGAGAATTGATACTACCTGTATCAACTCCCCATCGTGCCTTCCGTCCCAAACCTTCCTCCCTCCGGTCTACAAATAAAGCACGTGAGCCTGTCCTTATACTCTTCAACATCCTCGTCTCCCCTGAGACCAGGCTAATCCTTCCAATGTCACACTTTACCACAATCCAGATAATTCTGTTATCAAATTGGGACTGTTTCTCCACCAAGGTTACTAGCAGGTCTCCCAATTCCTGGCAAAACAGTGGTAATCTGCATATCCTCCTCCTCCCTTAAGGGAGGCAGTGCCTCTTGCAGCCACGTGGGGGCAGGGTTGCTCCCTGAGGAAACTTGCCAGACCTCTAAGCAAGGCGCTCATACCATATGTAGGGCAATGAATTGAGGCTGGAAAAAGGTCATTCCAAATTTATGGAGATAAACTAATATATATTGAATCCTTCTTAGTGTCTTGCATTCTGCCAGGCAACAAGGACACAGTGATGATTTACACAGGCATGAACCTAAAAGAGTTAAAATGGGAGGCAGGGTAGATCAGGCTTGGGGAGGGAGAAGTGGTTAAAAAAAAAAATTGCAGGGGCGCCTGGGTGGCTCAGTTGGTTAAGTGACTGCCTTCGGCTCAGGTCATGATCCTGGAGTCCCAGGATCGAGTCCCGCATCGGGCTCCCTGCTCGGCAGGGAGTCTGCTTCTCCCTCTGACCCTCCTCCCTCTCATGCTCTCTGTCTCTCATTCTCTCTCTCTCAAATAAATAAAATAAAATCTTTAAAAAAAAAAAATTGCCAAGGAAAGCAGGGGTCCTGATGGCTATATTGATGGTCTGGTCTTTAGCCTAAAGACTATGGAAGGGCACTGAAGGATTATGAGCTGAGAAGTGAGACTTTTTTTTTTTTAACTTTTTTCTTCTTTTTTTTTAAAGATTTTATTTATTTGACAGAGAGAGACACAGCCAGAGAGGGAACACAAGCAGGGGGAGAGGGAGAGGGAGATGCAGGCTTCCTGCCGAACAGGGAGCCCGATGCAGGGCTCGATCCCAGGACCCTGGGATCATGATCTGAGCTGAAGGCAGACGCCCAACGACTGAGCCACCCAGGTGCCCCTGAGAAGTGAGACTTGACCACAAATGTTTTATTTGGAAAGATCTCTCTGCTACAAGGTAGAGAATGGATTGATTAAAAGGGAGGAAATCAGAGCCAGGGAGCCAGATTAAATTTGTTGTAAAAACCACAGGAAAGGGGGGGCGCCTGGATGGCTCAGTCGTTGAGTGGCTGCCTTCGGCTCGGGTCATGGTCCTGGTGTCCTGGGATCGAGCCCCGCATCGGGCTCCCTGCTCCGCGGGAAGCCCGTTTCTCCCTCTCCCACTCCCCCTGCTTGTGTTCCCTCTCTCACTGTGTCTCTCTCTGTCAAATAAATAATAAAATAAAAAATAATAAAAATTAAAAAAAACACAGGAAAGGGGTGCCTGGATGGCTCAGTTGGTTAAGCATCTGCCTTCAGCTCAGGTCATAATCTCGGGGTCCTGGGATGGAGCCCTGGATCAGGCTCCCTGATCAGTGGAGAGCCTGCTTCTCCCTCTCTCTCTGCTGCTCCCCTGCGCGCGCAAGCTCTCTGTCTAATGAATAAATAAAACCTTTTTAAAAAAAGATTTTATGCAACCTACTAATGAGAGAAAAAATAAGATTTAAGACTTGTTCAAAAGAAAATTCTAGGAAAGGAGTATTTTAGAGTCCATCCATCAAGAATGCTGATATGAATTAATTTGTTCATAGGTAGATATAAAACTGGCTAATGTCACACAAGGATATCAAAGAATTATAAAATAACCAAATCAAGAGCAAATAGGAAGTCCAACAAAAGTGCACACTCCCTAGAAAATCAGATAACCCCCAGGGTGTGTTGGCCCAGTTTACAACATCAAAAGGACACCAAACAATAACTTGCCTCTTTCCAACTTTTGGAAACATCCATACACTTCCTTTCTGTTCCAGCTCCAAGCCTGTGCTCAATTTTTTTTTTTTAAATAATAGTCTTTTTTTTTTTTAAAGATTTTTGTTTATTTTTATTTATTTGACAGAGAGAGAGAAACAGCATGAGAGGGGATAGGGTCAGAGGGAGAAGCAGGCTCCCCGCTGAGCCGGGAGCCAGATGTGGGACTCGATTCCTGGACTCCGGGATCATGACCCGAGCCAAAGGCAGTCGCTTAACCAACTGAGCCACCCAGGCGCCCTCAAATTTTTTTTTTAATATTTTATTTATTTATTTGACAGAGAGAGACACAGCTAGAGAGGGAACACAAGCAGGGGGAGTGGGAGAGGGAGAAGCAGGCTTCCTGCGGAGCAGGGAGCCCGATGTGGGGCTCGATGTGGGCTCTCGATCCCAGGACCCTGGGATCATGACCTGAGCCGAAGGCAGACACTTAACGACTGAGCCACCCAGGTGCCCCTTGTTACAACTTTTCAATCATGTATTTGAACAAGCAATTAATATTTGCTGAGTAAATAAATTTATTTGTCCCTAAATGTATTCAAACTGGAATTCTCTCGTTGTGAATACTTGTTATGTTACCCTGGGACACACATAGGGACAACGTTGCCCCTGAAAGAGTGACAATTGGTTTGGCAGGGGGAGGGGCAGAAAAATCTTAGATATTAAAGAGGTTTCTGGCCCACCAAAGGGCCATCGTACATAAGCAGATATGCAGTATATCAGTGGTATTAAAATTTCATGAGTGGGATTGGAGGGGGAAATGTCTTTTTAAGGCTCCTGGGGAGGAGGAGACGATAATGAAAAAAAGACTGAGAAACAGGACCCAGGGATCATTCCATTTGTTTCCTGTGCATTTGCCTGCTCCCTGACTACCTTGAGCAGGAACTGTGAGATGAGAGCAGTAAAGCATAGTGGTCAGAAGTGCGGGCATGGAATCTGACTGCCTGGATTTGCAGACTGCTTGCCTCTGATATCTCTTAAATGGATAATACCCAGCAAGTTACTTAACCTCCCTAGACCTCAGTCTCCTCATCTGTAACATTACCTTAATACCTTCCTCCCCGGGTTGCAGTATTAGGTGAGGTCATACAGCGGAGCACATAGTCAGAGCTTAGGCAATGTTTCTAAAACCTGCAAGTACACTAGGTGCTTACCGCAAACTACTGATGAACCAAGCCAATTGGTCTTAACGGTCTAGAGGTGACTGGAACCACCTTGACGATCAGGTGGGAGATGCAGGCAGCTCCGTAAGAACTCTTTACACCTAGGGTCCCTTATCTATAAAATGGGCTATCTAGGGATTTGGGAGAACTAATCAATTCGTGTAGTGTGCTTAAAACAGTGCTTCCAATGATAGCGAATATTAGCCCAACTACAAGCCAAGCTCCTAGCGACAGCGGACTAGACAGCAGGTCATAGGTGGCCGCTCAGGAAAAATCAGACCCTGTCAGAAGACTCAAGCAGAGCACTTACGGCCTGATTCACTTTCCCGAAATGGCTCCATGCAAAGGACCTCCCCCAAGCCGCCCGCTAAGCAGGGACCCTGCGCACCAGTCCTGGAATGCGCCTGGGCGGCAGGCGTGGGACCGCGATGACACGGGTCGAGGCTGCAGGAGGTTCGGGATCCGTGGAGGCGGAGCCTGCACACCTGTTGAGGGTGTGTATGTAAGTAAGGGCAGTGCTCAGGGAAGGGTGTGGGGGCAGGCAGCGGTGACGGAGGCAGAGGGTCGCCCACCACCGGTGCGAAGCCAAGGCCTCCGCGCTCTCGTCCCAGAGAAAGCCTGGGGTACAGACCCCCCGCCGCCAGACAGGAGCGCCTGCGCGCTTCCCTAAAGCGCAGGCGCGTCTTTTTCGCGCCCCAGCTCCTGAAGGCGCGAACGGCACTCCCCCCTTCCCTGGAATTCTTTACCCACAACTCCCCGGGCTCGCGCGCCCTCTCCTTATGCGCCTGCGCCCGCCATAGTCCCACCCCCAAATCCCGTGGGCCTCTGCGAGGTGGTATTTAAGTATGTCGCTACAGCCCTTCGGTCTCATTTTTCCGCGGCGTTCGGTGAGTAGAACCTTCCTTGTTTTATTTTCTTAAACCAAGTGAGCGTAGCACGCCTGAGCATTTAGGTTGTACTTATTGGTTGGCGGGGGAGGGTAAGATCTCGGCCATAGCCTTGAATCCACGAAGCAGCAGCGCAGCTTTGTGAAGGACAAAATGGCGATGGCGGGCCGTAGCGGCGGCCCTCTCTGTGATGAGAACCTTTTCACAGACCTGTACTGAGTTCCGTGAGGATAAGACTCTCTGAGGAGACGGGCCTTGCATAGCGGAAGTCCAACACAGTCGTAGCTCCGGAAACAGCGATTGTGAAATCACGAATGTTGATTTACTGTCCTCGTCTGCAGGGTTCGGGCGCACTTTGAACGCTGGAGAATGGAGAGGAGCCGACTTGTTAGGGTGAGTGTTTACGGCCATCCTTTACCACTGTTCCTCCGTTGTGGAGTTTACGCAAGTCCAGTGGGATGTGCTACGGGGATGATACTTAAAATTGAACTCTCTCTTTCTGATGGATAGTGGAGAAAACATAAAAATTCTGAGTAGCACCATCCCGCAGCAAACGCTTGGGGTTTTAGCGCGGAGGTGTTAGGGCACAGACGTGAGACAGACTGCAAGGTGTGGAACTAAGTGAGGGGTGCGCCTCGTTTTTGTTTTGTTTTTTTCAGATGTGGTTCAGCTCAAAAGACCTTACAGGTTGGAGGATGGGACAAGACCTGTCGTGCAAACTAGGTATTACGGTAATGCTCCAGGTGGGTAGGCAGTGATTTCCGCAGGTGTGGGTGGGCACAGTGTCTAGGTGGGGTTCTTGTTCAAATTGTGCTGACCACTCCATGATGAACATAAAAAAAGACAAGCATATGGCTGAACTAAAAGTGATGTCATCTTCCTACTGAGAAGTGGGCCAAGAGTACTCAAGGGTCTGTGAGTGATTATTCTTAGGTACATATATAATGCCTTCCTTTTCTGTTTTAGCATCTCATCACTAGGCCTGAGGAATCCAACTGCCTCCCAGGGTGAATACAGGTAATGAATTGTTCAGATGGGGGATTGGAGTGTTGTCCGGTTTTGCCTGCAACCAGGAGAGCAAATGGCCAGTGGAGCAGCATTGCCTTTTTGCTCCTTCAGCTTGTTCTCTTGTAATGACTTTGCTGTGGAGGGAGAGAGCAGCCTAACAGTACAGTTCTTGTGAGGGTGTGCTCTCCCTCACCCATATGTCAACTGTCAGATGATTTGAATAGATATGCTGATCCTCTGTGAGGTGTGACAATTAATAGCATGTTAGAGTTCTGATGGCAGTTTCTGTTAATGAAGAAACTTTATTCCGTTTTATATTTTCAGATAACCATTTGTTCCCCTTTTGCAGGTTGTCCTGATGGTGACACATTCCTCTATCTTAAAGTAAGTAGCTTCTCCTAATACTGATTAGCATATGTGTGAATTCGTTTTCCAAAGGATGATTTCATTGTGGGTGTTTTGTTGTGACCAGACATTTCATTGACCCATATAGGTTTCTGGTTCTTGTAGTGATGTTTCTTGATCTGTTTCTTCTGAGCAGCTTTATTTTTTTTATTTTTATTTTACATAGGCTCCATGCCCAACGTGGGGCTCAAACTCATGACCTCGAGTCGAATGCTCCACCAACTGAGCCAGCCAGGCGTCTCTTGATCAATTTCTTGTAGATGTTCATTGATGATTCTGCCCAGGGTTGAGCTTTCGGAGAGCGTTAAGGATGGTGAGTACTTGTAACCTTAGTGGTTGTGGCTTGCCAGAGTATGTGCCAGTGAGGAAAGCAAGCATCCTGTCTTACCCCTGTTCCAGCCCCAGAGCCAGTAATGGTGAACCCACTGGGGCTAACTGGGAGAAAGGATGAGAATTTGTTCGTAAGGAACTGTCTGAGGTACAGTGTATGCCTGTCAATAGCATCTGCTTGGCTTTTCTTAGTTTAAATCCATTAATCATAGTTGGAATGGATGTGGCTGTTTTAGATCCTTCACTTAATTATGTAATCTTCTCTTTCAGGAGCAGCTTGTTCTGTGTGCTGCCCAAAAGCCTCCAGAGTTAACAGGTTAGTGGATTAATGTCTGTGGCTCATGCCACCAAATAGGCAGTTTCCATGATGAGTCAAACTAGCTCACTATGACCTACACAATGAAAATAAGTGAACACCTGAGAAACTGGAGAAGGCAGGAGTGGAGGGATGCTATGTGGAAGGGCTTTTTATCCACCTATGTTTTTGTCTTTCTCTAGGTGCTGTTAACCCATTAACCTGCTTGTTTGCGCAAAGGTGAGTTGTTTCCGTATGTGGTTCATGGAGCATATTGGGTAGAAAAAAATACCCTTTCGAGGGTATAAATGCATGATGACTTACATGGAATCTCGTTCGGCTGATAACTTGCTGTTGAGACTCGGAAATCTGATTTTCCTAGGAATGATAGTTTAAGCAAGAACAACTTCTATTGTTGGACGTAAGCATTACTGACTCTGTTCTTAATCGTTTCAGGTCCAGTGCCTTATGTGGAGCCCAGGAATGATTTGAGGTAAATACCTTTGTAACATCACTTAGCTGCTATATAGAATTCGCCGGGTGTTTTTAGGGGCGGTGTGTGTTGGGTGGCACTTGCCTGGGTAGCTGTAAGAAGACCTTACTGGCTCACTCCAGAGTCTTGTCTGTGGCCATTCTGAACCACCTACAACAAGCTCTCCCTCACCAGTGATGAATTCAATACCGCCCCAGTCTGATCATTGTGACTGAAAGGTATTTTCTGAGCTGTGAGCTTGCCTTGGAACGAAGTGACAACAGTAGTTTATCAACTGGCTTCAAGCCAATAGGAAGTTCTGTGGACTACCTGGTGGTTACTGTAAAATAGGCATTCTGAAACCTACAAAGCTTTTACAGATGTGCCTTTGCTCTCAGCAATAGGGACCGGAGATGTTTGAGAGGCTTAGTTATCAATCTTCTGCAGGAACCCTCAGCCGTTTTTCTGCTTAGCTCCAGTCTGAAGTCAGAGGTGAGTAAATCTAGGTGGTGCAGGGTAGCCCAAACTAGAACTCCCAGTGAAGAAACAGTCACATGTCTTACCTCCTGTCCTAGTCCCAGAGCCTGTAAAGGTGAACCCACTGGGGCTGGCTGGGGGAAAAGAGGAAGCTTGTTCCAGAAGGAACTGTCTGAGGGATCATAAGGGATTTCTAAATATGGGAAAGGGAATAAATCACTTGCTGAAGTCGATTGTATATTTGTGTTCCAGGTGTGAAAAAAGAACAAGGCCCATATCACAGGTATGCATCTGTTCAAATATTGGTGTTTAATATCTAATAGACTAAGATAAACAGAAAAGTATACCTGGAAACAAGCTTTTTAACGTGAACTAGTTTAAAGGGTAGCCCCTTATAAACTCAACATAATACATTCTTACCTAATAAGGAGGCTCACTTTTTTTTTCCTTTTGTTCCTGTACAGGAATCCACTTCTTCAGGGATACCAAAAGGAAGTCTTCAGGTCATTTTTTGTACAACCTAGCTGTGGAAATTAGCATACAGTTGTTTCAGCCTTTCTAAATAAAAGTTTAACCTTCATTGTTGTTTATGTGTTTGAGTGTCTAGGTGGGCAGAAGGAAATAATCCTCGGGAATTTGCCCTTGTCAGCATTGTTCTATTTAGTGTGGCAAGTTGCCTACTGCTGTCCAGCTCGGGGAAGCAGTGTTCAAGGAGCCTCAGTAGATCTCCTAAGGTTCACCACCACCTGCCATGTGCCTCACTGTGTGAAATGTCTGCTGGGGTTTGGGTGATAACTTTAGGAGGCTGGAATATGACCATCAAGGATCCCTTAGACTCAAAAAAAGTGGCTGTCCGATTTTGGTGTTTCACTGCCCTTTTCTGCCCATGAAACTTCAACATGGTTTCTGTGGAGTCTGCTTTTTCTGTAGAATCAGGCCTACAACCCTTGAGTTTCTGTTCCTATAGTGAACCTCTGGGTCTCTACATTCTTTTTCTGGAATGGTCTGCGCTCTTTCATGGAGGTGACTCATTCAGGGACTCTAAGCTCAAAAGTCACTGCTGGGGGCCCCTGGGTAGTTCAGTCAGGTAGGCATCCAACTTGATGTCTCAGGGTCATGAGTTCCAGCCCTGCATTGGGCTTCACCCTGGGCATGGAGCCTACTTACAAGTCAACTGCTAAAAGGCCTACCTTGGCTAATCATTGTCAGTTTATGCTGTTGGTGTAAATATACTTTGATTGGAATGACCCTGCTTGTGTTTGTCTGCCTTCCTTTTTTTTTAAGATTTTATTTGAGAGAGAAAGCACAGCCCAGGAGAGGGGCAGAGGGAGTGGGAGAAGCAGAATCCCTGCTGAGCAGGGAGCTAGATCCCAGAACCTTGGGATCATGACCTGAGTCTAAGGCAGATGCTTAACTGAGCCACCCAGGCTTCCCTCCTTCCATTTGTTCTCTCAGTGGGAAAGTAGAACTTACTCACTTAGGACATCAGTTAGGGGTGCTCTGAACACCTGCATGAATGTGATTTGCAATGAATATCCATCTGTCTCCTTGTGCCATTGTATCGACATAAATTTAGGCAATGGAGTTAAGATCATTAAGATCTTACAAACTTGGGGCGCCTGGGTGGCTCGGTCGTTAAGCGTCTGCCTTCGGCTCAGGTCATGATCCCAGGGTCCTGGGATCGAGTCCCACATCGGGCTCCCTGCT